AACTCGTAGAGAAGTTGAGGTTCGACCCCAGCAACTTGAAGAGCTCGGTCCAGAACCGCCCGGTGAACTGAGGGTCACGATTGTCAGTAGGACTCCACAGTATTTGACAATGTGCTTGACGAATAGCTTGGCCGCCTCCTCGGCCGGACAATCCTTTGTCACAGGTACGAACGCAGCGTACTTGGAGAATCGGTCCACTACGACCATGAGGGTCCGACATTCTTCGAATTTGGGTAGATTCACAATGAAATCCATGGAGACACTCTACCATGGACGTTCCGGGACAAGAAGGGGCTCGAGGAGCCCCGACGGTGAACGTTGCTCGATCTTATCTTGTTGGCACACGAGGCATGTTCTCACATATGCCTTAACGTCGTCCCGTAAGTGAGGCTAGTAGTACTGGTCCTCAATGAGTGCCATGGTGCGGTGGATTCCCGGATGTCCCGCCCATTTGGAATCGTGGCACTATTGCAGCACTTCCTTCCTTAATCTCCCGTAAAGCGGCACATATAGTCGCCATCCCTTGGTGTAAAGGAGATCGTCCTTCCACTAGAATTGCCTAGTTTTTCCTTCCCGCGTGTACTCAAGGAGTTGTCGGGCCGTTGGATCATGCTTGAGCCCCTCCTTGATACGGTCGATCCATGGGCAGCTAGGTCGGCTTATAATATTGGCCAACTCCGTCTTCCGGCTCAAGGCATCGGCCACTGAATTGGCCTTTCCGGGTTTATACTCCAGCACGTAATCAAACTCGGCCAGGAAGTCCTGCCACCGAGCTTGTTTCGGACTTAGCTTCCTTTGGGTCTGAAAGTAGCTCATGGCCACGTTATCCGTCCACACGATGAATTTCAATCCTAGGAGATAGTGCCTCCAAGTACGAAGGCAGTGCATCACCGTGGTCATCTCCTTTTCTTGGACAGTGTAACGTCGCTCGGTCTCATTCAGCTTCCGAGACTCGAACGCCACCGGGTGTCCATCCTGCATGAGAACACCACCTATCGCAAAATCGAAAGCGTCAGTCTCTACCTCATAAGGCTTAGCATGATCGAGCAGTATGAGCACTGGCTCCTCGGTCAGGGCCCGCTTCAACCGATCGAACGCTTCTCGGCATCAATCCATCCACTCCTACGGCCTTTCTTTCTTCAACATGTCCATGAGTAGCACGATGATACTTGAATATCCCCGAATGAAGCGTCGATAGTAATTTGTGAGGCCGAGAAACGACCTCAGCTCAGTTACCTTAGTCGAAGGCTCTCATTCGACAATGGTACAGATCTTGGCCATATCCATCCGTACTTGTCCGTCCCTAACGAGATGCCCTAAGAACGGTACCACCCGTTGGGCAAAGGCACACTTCTCGCATTTAACAAACATGTCGTTCTCACGCAATACCTGGAAGACTCGCCTCAAGTGCTCGACATGCTCCTCTAGCCTTCGGCTATAGACAACAATGTTGTTAAGGTAAACCACAACAAACCGATCAAAAAACGAGTGAAGTACCATGTTTATTAAGGTGCAGAATATGGCCGGCGCATTGGTCAAGCCAAATGGCATGACGAGGAACTCATACGATCTGTATCGTGTTACACATGCGATCTTCGGCTCGTCCCCTTCGGCGATCAGTAGTTGGTAGTAAACTAATCGAAGATCAAGCTTGGTGAACCATCGAGCTTCCCCAAGCTGATCGAATAAGTCTGCAATAAGGGGGATCGGGTACTTGTTCTTTATGGTGAGCTTGTTCAATGCTCGGTAATCAATGAACATACGGAGGGATCCATCGTGCTTCTTTTGAAACAGTACCGGGGTGCCGAACAGAGCTTTGGACGACCGAATGTATCCCGTATCGAGCAGCTCCTTGAGTTGCTTCCGTAGTTCCTCCAACTCGGGTGGGGCCATGCGATAGGGTGCCATGGCCGGTGGTCGAATATCGAGCATCAGCTCGATCTTATCATCCACCTCTCTTCGAGGTGGCAGCTTCTTGGATAGCTCGAGCGGCATCACATCTTGGAATGAGTCGAGGACGTAGGCCACCTCGGTTGGGACTTCACTCTCCTTGCCCTTGCCCTTGTCATCCTCGACCTTCAAGGTTGCCAAGAAAGTCACATCGCCCTTGTTTGCTCCCTTCTTAAGCTGCATAGACGAGAGCATCTTCCGATCGCGTCCTGACTCGCGATGGATCAGGACCACGCATTGGCATCGCGTGTCCAGAATATATATACAATCCGCAAAAGGCATTACGCTCGCATTTATGCGATCAAGGAATCCCAAACCCAACACAAGATCATAATTATCAAGGGGAATTACCTCAATGTTTTCCTTGCTGGTCCATGGACCAAGATGAAGCTCCACGTCCCTAGCCACATCGCTAGTCGGGACTTCTTTGGAGTTCATCATTTTTGGCCACCCGGCTCCTCCCTTTTCGACCCGAAGATTTAGCTCCTTCGCGGCCTCTCGGGATATGAAGAGGTCGGACATACCGGTATCCACGAGCGCACTCATCATGATACCCCCGATTTTCATGTCCACAAACATTATCCTTTTGGACTCCTTGGCCTTCTTGGCCTTAATGGAACTAAGGATTCGCAGCGACCCCAACCGCGCCTCCTCTCGTGGCTTATCTTCTTTGCATAGGGCTGCCAGCTTGCCCCTCTTAGGACATTCCCGAGCCATGTGTGGCCCATCGCAAAAGAAGCACTTAAAGGTGCGTACCTTTCGCTGCCCCCAACCGCTCGACTCCGGTTGAGCCCTAGGTGGTGCCAGTGTTGGCTTGCCTCCATTCAGGCGTTTGTATTTGTTCCATTCTCCCCCACCATTGGCCCTATCCCTTGGACGAAAGTCGAGCTTGGCTATGAACGAGGCTTTAGGCTCCTCTAGGGACTTCGCCACAGAAGTGGTTGTCTTGAGATCTTTCATGTTGCACTGCTTGAGCTCTTGTTTGGCCCACGGCTTAAGGCCACTCATGAACTGATGATACGCCTCCGTGTCGTTCATTGACGGGATCTAGAGTAGTAACTCCGAGAACCGCTTCACATACTCACGAACGATGCCCCTTTGCTCAAAGCGTTTGAGCTCGACGCGAGCTTCCTCCTCTGCATAAGCGGGATAATAATTCCACCGAAATTCTTCGACGAACTTAGCCCAGGTCTTGATAGGGTCGCCACTCCTTTCGTCTGACCTGCGACGCCACCACAGCAAGGCATTATCAGCTAAATACATTGCTTTCGTGTTTACTTTGGTCGTATTGTCGTTCGTTCCCGTGGCCTGGAAGTACCACTCCATGTACCATAGGAAGTTATCCACGTCTTTCGCCACTCGCGAGCCTTTGAACTCTCTTGGCTTAGGTGCATCCATACGTGGTTGCGCGATGATCACCCCATTCACGCGTGCTGCTTCTACTTCCGCAAGCTTCCCCTTGAGCTCGGCCATCTCCGTGCGCATGGTCGCCATCGCGGCCTCCCAAGTCTCGTCCCGCTGCTGTAGCTCATGGGTAACGGGCCCCAATACTTCGTCGCGGAGCTCTCCCATGCCGGTTTTGAGCTCTTGTATCTCGGCCAAGAGCTCCTCTCTTCCAGCTTCCACTCCTTCGACGGTCTGTTATTAGTCATCGACTATCCCTTGGACATCCATGATGGTTCCCTCTAGTGTCATCATGCGACGTTCCAAGTCACCCATTTGATCCCTCGAGCTAGAGGCAACACGACTCCTCCTGGTTTGGACACCGACTCTCTCGGTCGCCCTTCCACGATCCTCGCAGTCCTCACCTTGGACATTCGCGGCACTGGAACGTGGATCAGCCATTGTGCTAATGAAGGCTCTGATACCACTTGTCACGGGTCGGTCGATTAACAACGATCCCACACCCGTGCAGCCTTAGGATTTCACCCAAGTCAGTCTTATGCACACACACTCGAACTCACAAGAATGGAGAGAAAGCTGCGTAGTTATATTTCTTGTAAGAATGAGCATGTATAAATGAAGGAGGAGGGTTCCCTATATATACAAGTGCGGATCTAATCTGATCCGTTGATTCCCACTTGATCCAACGGTGGTGTTTGAACCGATACAATCATTACATAGCTACTCAAGAAGTGCAGAGGCCCTAAAGGCGTGGGAAAGCTCAATGGACGCCTGCTAAGGGAAGCTGCAGGGTCATGTGTCAGAGACAACTGAAGGGTCGCGGATGATGTTCGTGCCTAGTCATGGATGGGTCACGTCCCATGCTCAAATGGGCCATGTCCCATGCACGTAAGGGCCACGTCCCATGCACAAAAAAGAGTCATTTCTCGTTCACGGACGGGCTCGGAGCTCTTCGCTCCCTTGGACCATGTCACCTGCATACTCCAAATGAACGGATAATAATCAACAACTGTGGAACCTTTTGGATACCATGTTAATAAGTTTTTGCATTTTCTATAATATCATAATACAGCTAACAAGTTCACAATGTTGGACTTTACAGTAATAGTTACTTTTGTTGTATACTGTTGGTGCTATGAGTCATGCCTTTTGAGTTCTCGTTGTCTCCTCAAGGCTTAATGCTTCTGTGGTTTGATTGAGATGTCATTGAAGGAGGTGGAAGCAATCACTCACATCACGTTGAATGCAGGCAGTATCTACTTTTCATTGTCGGCTATTGTTTGAAGTATTTTCTCATCTTAAAGATCCACTCAGAGATGATTACTGCTTGCTTGGTCTTTTTAGATAGTTAATCCTCAGTCCTCCTTCACGGTGTTTCCTGTTTTTTTCTTTGTCTATAATTAGTGTCTGTAGCTGCTTCCGTCTGAATAGTAGATGGAATTGTATTTCCCTCTTTTTTTCTCTGGTTTGGTGTTTTAAAATGCTGATTTATTGATTGCTTTTGCTTACTTTCTCTCTCCTTTTGTACTTGATGTCGCTTTTGACCAATGCCAAATTATGAAGTACTAATCTCCTTTCTTTTTCGTGTGAAATGAAAAACTTCTGACACCTGTCCCTTGTAATGTCCTCGGGAACGACCATGTCAGATGAGATGGGCTTTGTACGGTAGACTCTCTCAATGCATGCCTCACGTGGTCATACTTTTTGTATGCAGGTGGTTCTCTATTTCTTTATGATCGGAAGACACTCAGATCCATCAGAAAGGATGGGTTTGAGTGGAGGAAGAGAAGAGATGGGAAGACAGTGATGGAAGCTCATGAGAGACTCCAGGTAAGGATATATGATTTTGTAGCTATACCCTGAAGGTCTTCTTATGCTGTCTTTAATAGTAGATGAAGTATAATCATTTCAGGTGGGAAATGTTGACGTGTTGCATTGCTATTATGCACATGGAGAACATAATGAAAATTTTCAGCGACGCACCTATTGGATGCTTGGAGAGTGAGTTTTCTGTAAGATCTTAATAGATAATCTTCAAAGAATAAGGTTATTGGGATAAAAAGGCTATTCATTATGGATATTTATCTTCTGTGCGTGTGTTTGGTGGGGGGATGTGGTTTTGTATATGTATATGTATATGTAGATAGATAAGGCACATAGTTGACAGCTAAAAAAAATTTGCTTTTAAGTATGTTAGAGTAATTACATATTAAACAACGCTTTCATATAAAAGCTTAAATTTTAAAACAGTTGACTGTGGTCCCACAAAATTTCATATTATATCAAAGTCACGAGATCCTGAGTTCAAATCTTTCTGGACTCCATTTGCCTCCCTAATTAAATATGTCAACGCTTAGTAATAGACAAAAAGACCATATTAAGCGTAAAAGAGAGTGTTAGAGCAATTAAATGTTAAATTACGCATTTATCTAAAAGTTTAAGTTTTCAGAATAGTTGATTGTGGTTCCACCAAATCTCACGAGTTAATTACTTTAGTTAGTTTGGTATTGTTTCGTTGGAAATGTCCTCACGACGAAATATAATTCACCGAAAGTCGTTCTTCGACTCTTAATGAAAGGAGACTGAGTTCTAGATCCAATTCCGGACAGGAGCAATCCAAGCGTGAATAAAGAACTTGATTTTTACAGAATATTCAGGTGAAACCATCCAATTGCTAATGGCGTCCAAAGTTCACAAAGACCTAAACAACTACAGCTAGGGAAACTGAAAGTGCGAAACTGGAGAGTAAAGACTACAGCTATGGAAACTGAAAGTGCGAAACTTGTAAGTAAAGATAAAAGACAATATTTGTTTTGTTCATGTGTGCGGGGGGTTCTTCTGTTGATAATCAGACACTATTTATAGCACAGACTTGGTAACCGTTCTTGGTGTTGTATTCGATATCCATCATTGATTTCATCTTCACCGTTCATTTAATGACACCCGTTTATCAACTGTTATCGATCTTATCTTTTGTATGAAGTGATAACCGCTCTTGAGCCCTTTTAGTCTCTGAAACGATAACCGTCATCGAGCCCATCGGTTCTCTAAGGCGGCAACCGTCATCGAACTTTTCTCCGTTTAACACCTGTCTCTTGGGATGATAACTGTCATCGAGCTTTCTCTCCGTCTGACATCTATCTCTCGGGATGATAACCGTCATCAAGCATTTTCTCCGTTTGACACCTGTCTCTCAGGATGATAACCGTCATCGAGCCTTTTCTCTGTTTGACACCTGTCCTTTGGGACGATAACCAACATCGAACTCTTCTCTGTCTGACAGTTGTCTCTCAAGACGATAACCGTCATCGAGCATTTTCTCTATTTGACACCTGTCTCTTGGGACGATAACCGTCATCGAGCTTTTTCTCCGTTTGACACCTGTATCTCGGGATGACAACCGTCATCGACCCTTTTCTCTGTTTAACACCTATCCTTTGGGACGGTAACCAACATCGAACTTTTCTCCGTCTGACATCTGTCCACCAGAAATAGGGACCTTCGTCGAGCCTTTCTGACTTGACATCCATCGTCCTTTTCATCGATGTCATCGATGAAAAGCACCTTTGGCACTTGGACATCTGTCTTTTCTGGAGCAAAGGCCTTCATCGAATTTTTCCTAGCTTGACATTTGTTCTTCTCCTTGTCGACATCTTCGATGAAAATACCTTCAGCATTTTTTGTCCCTATCCATTTGAATTTCAAATTTCCCGCTTATGACTGTCCGTACCTACCAGCTATCATTTTAGTACAGATGGCGTCATCTCTTGTCGTTTTATTCATCTATCTTAAGCATCGACATCTCTAATTAATTTCAGGTGTCAACATATGCCCCCTTTTAAAAGAATTAATTCTTTTGTTTAATTCTTTTAAAACAAATTTTGACCTGAATAATCTTACTCTTAATGCCTCGTAACTTGTATTTGCTCATCCTTCCTGAAACACTTCGCTTTTCTCTGACACGTCATCTCAAGCATTTATGACCTAGCAGATCTTCATGATAGCAAATCACCTGAACCGTCGTATCCTGGTGAAAAAATTGCAACTTTTGACCTTCCATTTTCTTCTTCGATTCTAGGTTTTCCTCTCAGTTTCCCACTCCTTCATTTTCCTTCAGATTTTTCACTCAATCTGCACTCATGGCCCGCAAATATTCTCCCAAATCATACATCGAGAAATTTGATCAACTACGTCATGATCAAGAGTCCTCGAATTGTGACTTTCGACTATTGCACTTGGTCGATGAATCCTCCAACCAACTCATTCTGGGTCCTTGCTTTCACAATCATCACCAGATTCCCGCTTCTCTTCGTCCCTGTTTTCCAAAGAGAATAGGAGAACTACTTCCTGTTCAGAAGTCGTCGATTACAGACATCTGGTTTCCAGAAAACTCACGATTTCGGGGGTTTCCTTCTCTAGAGATGGGTTTTCACCGCTGGTATGTGAAACTAAAGGGAGATATAACTACTCGCCTTGCCTGGATAAGAGCTGGTACTGATACTGCTCTAGAAGTCAGCATGTTGTCATATGATTTAGATCTAGGGCTTTTGGGTGCTGCCATCAGTTTCTGGTCCCTTTCGACCAATTGTTTCTTTTTCCCCTAGGGCCCTATGTCTGTTATTCTTTTGGACATGTATGCCATTACTAATTTTCCTTCGATTGAGACCCCTATAAGTGACATGGCTTCGATACCAGTACCCTCTATTCCTGATGAACATCTTGCTTATGGTAGATTTTTGGAAACATATTCTCTTAGTGTTGAACCAATAACCTCTGACGAACGTACTTGTTTTCTTCTCTTCTGGATGTCTAAATATGTTTTCCTTGCTCCCACACTGAAAATTTCCAAGGATTTCTTACCACTCGCAGCCAATCTTGCTGCTGGTAAAACACCTGCTTTGGCACCATCAGTGCTAGCTACTCTCTATCGAGGAATAACTCATGCATCTTTATCAATGACGTCCAAAGAAGAAGGCACTTTGTTTGGACCATTCTGGATACTTCAATGCTTGATAGTGCATTACTTTCCTTTTCTTTCCACTCACGTTCCTCGCACCTTTCGTTATCATTCCTTTCCAGAATTCCACCCACCAACACCCCTTCCCTTTGGATGTCGTTTACTCAGTTATTCCTCATTAAGTGTCTCGGAGAATCTTTCTCTTTTTGTTTTTTACCTTCATAAACTCTTGACAGTTCAACCAAATGAAATTGAATTTTTTGCTTATGATGCAAATGAATTCAATTATTTATTCGATTCAATAGCTCGCCTTAATTCAACTGACTTTTGGCTACGCATCCTTACTCATGTGGACCTTCCTCTAAGGTTATCCCAGAAAGGCAAATTTTATCATGGCTTTGAGATTTATTCTCCTCAATACTGAGCTAGGCAATTTGGTTTAGTTCAAGCCATTCCCATGCCAATTCCTTATTCTCTTGAATTCCCAAGCATGGTGAAACAAAAATATCCTTTCAAGAACGATGCCCCATTCGCATGCTGTACTGAAATCACTCGGCTTATGTTTGCCAAATTTGCCCCTGATATTGATGACTTCAAACCTAAGCCTGGATGCACTCCTGCATGGACTTCTTGGTAGCTTTCTTTCTGTCTTGAAAGCCCTTATGAGAAGGCTACTCAAATCATGCTGACTCGAATAGCAGGAGACGTATTTAAGCCAAGGAGTAGAGGCAAGAAGGGTAAGAAAGCTCTTTCCATAGGACTGGATATTCCAAGTTCTGAATCAGGACAATTGCGGATAACTCAAGGGACACAAGTCAAAAGTGCTAAGGTCAAGTCGACAATCTCTTCCAAGAAAGCGGTCCCCTCAAGAAGTGTTCCTATTCGGACCCGATTGTACTGTGCTACCGCAATGGATCAACCCCCAGCCGACGATAACACACCTCTTCTCAAGAGGAAATCTGATCCGATGCAAGGTATCCATTTAATGCAGTCTTTTCTATTTCATATAATCCCCGCATTATCTCTTAACCTTGGTATTTGTTCTTACAGAATCTCATCATCTAGTCAATCTATTGAGAACGCAGATGAAGAACCAATTGCTGCATTGATCAAAAGAAAACGCCTCAACCCTTCAACTACATCAACTTCATCTTCTATGGCCACTGTCAATCCTGTAGAGGCTTCGGATTCTCAGGTCAATCTCACCCATTCTGAAGATAATTCAAATGGTATACCTTCGTTATACTCTTCTTTACTTGTTAGCAAAGTGATTAAATTTTAGCAATTCATTATTGGCAATATTTAGCAGGACTTTCTGTTGACCCTAATCTTGAGGTTGCTATTGTTGAACCGCCCATATTACTCCTCACAGCACCGGAACAAGGTATTTGTGTTATAATGGTATGTTATAATTCATTATATGTCTCAACGACTGATTTCTTTCTATTTTCAGGATCTTTAAATGATTCGGTACCACCAATCTTAGCAACTTCAGAACCTCAGACAGCTGCCAGTACTACACCCATCGATAGCCACATCACCTCTGGTTTCCCTGTCCATTCTACTGAAATCAACCCTTCTAGTTCAACTTTGGCCCTGGCCACTGCTCTTGTCCCAGTACAGAGTGTTGCTGCTCCTTTGACACAGCCTTCTTCGAGCTATTCAATTCCTTCTGCCGAAGAAATAAATTCTCCGAAGTCTCTCTTGAAAACTAAGCGCATGCTAGACGAGGCTTCTCATATACTGGGTTTTACTTCAGATGTAGCTTCCCCAAGGCAAATGGCTATTGAAAAGGTCAGAGATAAACTATTGCGACTTCTAGACCTTTCTAGTGGGGGTTTTCCTATGCTTCTATGCAACCAGACAGCTTTTGATCGACTGAAATTTCTACTTGATCAGCTATGTAGTGCTGAACCTAGTGAAATACTGCCCCTAGAACTGAAGGCCAAACTTGATGATTTCTCAAAAGCTTTTGTCAGTAGGATAGAGTCTTATCGACGTAATTATGACCTAATTATGTCTTTAACTCTTTCTGATCAACCTTCTGCCGAGAATAATCATGTCATAAACGAGCTCAGTCATACTGTAAAGGAGAGGCAGACTAACCTTCACGCCCTGGTCAAAGAAATATCTAGTCAAAGAAATATCTGGACTTGATGAGGAGGAACTTCACCTTGAAAAACAGAAAGCAGAGATTGAACAGAGGTTGGCTTTTCTTCGAGACACTCGGCAACTCAAACACACACAGAGGCTTTGACTGGAAATGGACTTTGACAAAGATATT